AAAATCTTTCTGAAAACCAGGAAGAATTAGAACTGAGCCTTTAATTTTTTTCTTTTTGCCTTTTGTTGAGACAGTCTTACTTTGTTACCATGGGTAAAGTGCCCTCATGTCACCTAACTCACAGCAACTTAAGACTCTTGGGCTCAAGTGATCCTCTTGCCTCATCCTGCCCAGTAGCTGGGACTACAGGTGCCTGCCACAGCAGCCGGCTATTTATAGACACAGTGTCTTGCTCTTGTTCAGGCTGGTCTCAAACTTCTGGGCTCAAGCAATCAGCCCATCTCGGCCTCCCAGAGTGCTAGGCTTACAGGAGTGAGCCACCACAACCAGCCTAATATCCATTCATGAAATGGTCATTGCAATTCGCCCAAAACAAATCTGTGTAACAGATTCTTTTGTGTGCATAAGTATGTGTCGAAGATTTATTTATTTATTGACACAGTCTCAAGCTGTCACACTGGGTACAGTGCCATGGCGTCACAGCTCACAGCAACCTCAAACTCTTGGGCTTAAGCGATTCTCTTGCCTCAGCCTCCCAAGTAGCTGGGACTACAGGTGCCTACCACAATGCCCGGCTATTTTTTTTTCTTTTTTTGGTTGTCATTGTTTGGCAGGCCTGGGCTGGATTCGAACTCGCCAGGTCCAGTGTATGTGGCTGGCACACTAGCAGTTGGGCTATAGGCACTGAGCCTGAAGATTTATTTTTAATTCATTAATGAGGAACCATCAGGACAAAACCTGGTTCACCATGTCTTTTCCTTTACTCATTTATTTATTTTGGCTGGATTTTGTGTTCATATATTTTGTTACCTTTGCTGCAAGAGGGTGTATGAAGGGTATTTCTGTGTGTTTCAATTTTTAATTAGATTATATACAGTACAATGTATTCTTGATGTCCAACTCTATGAATTGACATGGTTATGTAAAAACCCCAACCCAAATACAGTTCTACAAATTTCCTCATCCTGCCTCACATTCAACCCCTTCCCACCTCCAACTCCTAGCAACCACTGATTTGTTCTTTTTCTTTTTTTTGAGATAGAGTCCCATTATGTCACCCTTGGTAGAATGCTATGGCATCACTGCTCACAGCAACCTCAAACTCTTGGGCATAAGTGATTCTCTTGCCTCAGCCTTCCAAATAGCTGGGACTACAGGCACCCGCCACAACGCCTGGCTTTTTGTTATTGTTGTCTAGCAGGCCCGGGGTGGGTTCGAACCTGCCAGCTCTGGTGTTAGGTGGCCAGTGCCCCAACCACTGAGCTACAGGTGCCAAGTCCACTGATTGGTTCTTAATCCCTATATAGCTTCCTTTTGAAGAATTATCATATAAATGGGATCATGCAGTGTGTGGCCTCTGACTTCCTTCTCCTAGAATAATACATGAGAGGCTTGGCGCCTGTAGCTCAGTGGCTAGGGCACCAGCCACCTACAACGGAGCTGGAGGGTTCGAATCCAGCCTGGGCCTGCCAAACTGCCAAACAATAACGACAACTACAACCAAAAAATAGTTGGGTGTTGTGGTGGGCACCTGTAGTCCCAGCTGCTACTTGTGAGGCTGAGGCAAGAGAATCACTCAAGCCCAAGAGTTCCAGGTTACTGTGAGCTATGACACTCTACTCAGGACAACATAGTGAGACTCTGTCTCAAACAAAACAAAAACAAAACAAAACAAAACAAAACATACATGAGAGGCAGTGCCTATAGCTCAGTGGTTAGGGCACTGGTCACACACACCCAGGCAGGCGGGTTCAAATGTGGCCCAGACCAGCTAAGCAACAATGACAATGGCAACAAAAAAACAGCCAAGTGTTGTGGTGGGCACCTATAATCCCAGCTACTTGGGAGGCTGAGACAAGAGAATCACTCAAGCCCAAGAGTTGGAGGTTGCTGTGAGCTGTGACACCCCAGCACTCTACCAAGCGCAACATAGTGAGACTCTGTCTCAAAAAACAAAAAAACATGAGATTTCAGTAGTTGGTTCCTTTTTATTGTTGAATATTTATTGTAAAGATGAACCACACTTTAATTTATTCACTTCTTATTTGGGGACAGTTGTCAGTAAAGTTGCCATAACACGTGAGTGCAGGGTTTTTGTGTTAATCTGACTTTTCATTTTCTTGGATAAATATCCAAGAGTTGGCTTTATGGGATGTAGGGTAAGTATACTATGTTCCTTTACATAAATCTTCCTGAAGAAAAGTCTATAAAACAAGGAAAATAAAATCCTTGAAAGACTAATGTTTTCCCGAGGAAAGACTAAAGTTTTGGCAGCTTTTTCTTCTCCAAAAATAAAACCCCAAAATAAAAAAAAAGACCCAAATGTTTAACATTATATTGGGTCAGCACACCAAAATACAGCATCTTTCAGAACACATAATTATCTATGATGGCAGACTCCATTAGTTGTCCTCTGAAATTTGTTACCCTACCTTCTGTAGTAATAGAATGTTCAGCTGACCACACATAGAGTATATGTCTCTGCTGCTCTTTTAGCTTCACCTGGCCAAGTTCTGAGCAATGGAATATAGATGGAATTATCCCTGTGCAAGTAACTGGAAATTTCCCTAGAAAAGGGTTCTTTGTTGTGTCCTCCTCTCCTACTGGCTAGACAACAACCTGACTGTTGGAGCACTTGGTGGGCAGAGCTGCTAGCCAGCCTTGGATTGCTTACCTGGATTGCTTTTCCTGGAGAGATAACGTACCTGGTTTAATCTACTATTTGGGGTTTTCTGTCATATTTTTATGTATGTCATTTGATTCAAATTACAAAGTGGCAAGAAGATCCTATAGTTTACCAAAAGAACCAAGAGAGCCACAATTGGCAGGAACAGTACCTTAATCGAAGCTCCTGCAAAGCGAGAAAGCTGTTTGATGTGTTGGCCCTGTTTGCCGATAATGGCACCAACTGATAGGGCTGGGATAAACAGATGAACAGTCTCTGTTTCTGATTGCTGTTAGAAAAGAAAAAGCCAGAACATGTATGCTTATTTCCGATCAGGACTTCCCCACCTTCCCTTTCCCCTTGTCATAATCTTTATAAATCATGCTTTTGTTATTGTTGACTCTGGGATGGTCACATTCTCATTACAGTTAAAAATACTAGGAAAGTTTAAGGAAAAAACTACATTAAGTTGACAAGAATATCTTGTATTGGCTCAACGCCTATGGCTCAAGCAGCTACCACACCAGCCACATACACCTGAGCTGGTGGGTTTGAATCCAGCCAGGCCCCGCCAAATGACAAGGATGGCTGTAACCAAAAAATAGCTGAGCGTTGTGGCCGGCACCTAAGTCCCAGCTACTTGGGAGGCGGAGGCAGGAGAATCACTTGAGCCCAAGGAGTTGGAGGTTGCTGTGAGCTGTGATGCCACAGCACTCTACTCAGGGGGACAGCTTGAGGCTCTGTCTCAAAAAATAAAAAGAATATCTTGTATTAATCATCCTGGAAATGTTGGTATTTAAAATTTCACTTTTTGGCTTGGCGCCTGTGGCTCAAGAAGCTAAGGCGCCAGCCACATACACCTAAGGTGGCGGGTTCGAATCCAGCCCGGGCCCGCCAAACAATAATGACCGCTGCAACCAAAAAATAGCCAGGCATTGTGGCAGGTGCCTGTGG